GATAGACTGCCTAACAGATTTAGCATTTATGCCGCGCAGTGATGTTCACTTCATTAAAGCAGGCACTCTAACCCTAAAGGTGGATGGCTTTGCTATGGAGTTTCAAACTAATTAAAAAAATATGGGGGAGCTATTTGATTCAAGCTTTGATCCACATGCCCAGAACACGGTTAAAGTGTCATTTTTTCCCATGCTATCTTTCTCCGTGGTGGAAAAACTGATCAACACGTTTGTTTTTAATCTCGCATTGACTATTGTAATGCTCTGCTCGCTGGGGTCTCTAAATCAACTCTAAACAAATTGCAGTATGTTCAAAACTCAGCTGCCAGAATCCTGACAAGGTCCAGGACAAGTGAGCACATCACTCCAATCTTGGAGTCCTTGCACTGGCTCCCTGTCAGGTTTCGCATAGATTTTAAAATTCCCATGCTTACCTACAAGGCCCTGCATGATTTATCGCCAGAATACCTGTCTGAACTTGTAACCGTCTACACCCCAGGGCGTAATCTCCGCTCTTCTGATTCTGGCTATATAACTATTCCTGCAACTCGTTTACGCTCTATGGGTGACCGGGCTTTTTCTTCCTTGGCTCCAAAACTGTGGAATTCTCTCCCCACTGAATTAGACATACTGAATTACGGAGGCAGCTGACTTTGATGGAGGAATTTGCAGGTTTACTCACAAACTACAATTCCTGTTCATCAATTAGGTGAGACCCAGACCAGTTTTAAACCTAAATCTACTCAAATTAATTCAATTATTTGAAAAGTGTAAAAGTGTAGGATCAAAGTAGTGATAGATGTTTGTTGTCGTAATGATGACAGTAGCGCACAGCTGTTGTGGTTAGAGATTACACTACATGTGTCCCACACCCAAGCCCAGCTGAACCGGCTCTGGTCCAACTCTTCCACACGGGCCAGGGACGGCTCAGCGAACCACACCCGGGTACGGTACGGAGCGATCACACTACATGTGTCCCACACCCAAGCCCAGCTGAACCGGCTCTGGTCCACCTCTTCCACACGGGCCAGGGACGGCTCAGCGAACCACACCCGGGTACGGTACAGAGCGATCACACTACACGTGTACCGCACCCAAGCCCAGCTGAACCGGCTCTGGTCCAACTCTTCCACACGGGCCAGGGACGGCTCAGCGAACCACACCCGGGTACGGTACAGAGCGATCACACTACATGTGTCCCGCACCCAAGCCCAGCTGAACCGGCTCTGGTCCAACTCTTCCACACGGGCCAGGGACGGCTCAGCGAACCACACCCGGGTACGGTACAGAGCGATCACACTACATGTGTCCCGCACCCAAGCCCAGCTGAACCGGCTCTGGTCCAACTCTTCCACACGGGCCAGGGACGGCTCAGCGAACCACACCCGGGTACGGTACGGAGCGATCACACTACACGTGTACCGCACCCAAGCCCAGCTGAACCGGCTCTGGTCCACCTCTTCCACACGGGCCAGGGACGGCTCAGCAAACCACACCCGGGTACGGTACAGAGCGATCACACTACACGTGTACCGCACCCAAGCCCAGCTGAACCGGCTCTGGTCCACCTCTTCCACACGGGCCAGGGACGGCTCAGCAAACCACACCCGGGTACGGTACGGAGCGATCACACTACACGTGTACCGCACCCAAGCCCAGCTGAACCGGCTCTGGTCCACCTCTTCCACACGGGCCAGGGATGGCTCAGCGAACCACACCCGGGTACGGTACAGAGCGATCAAACTACACGTGTACCGCACCCAAGCCCAGCTGAACCGGCTCTGGTCCACCTCTTCCACACGGGCCAGGGACGGCTCAGCAAACCACACCCGGGTACGGTACGGAGCGATCACACTACATCTTGTCCTTTCCACACGAGGCTTGTTGCGAATGCGATTAGTCGGTGTTAGCGGTGTTAAGACGCACAACGTTTACATCACTTGCCCACCGAAGGACCAACCCCACCGTCGTTCAGATATTATTTTTGTAATAAAAGTAATTTAGTTCAGTTAGAGAACAGACACTACAATTAAAACCTGAACGTGTGCTCAATGCAGCGTGAGCCGAACAAGAGTCCCAGCAGGAGTCAGATCTCACCTCACTCTTGACTGATAAGATAACATTGGAAGATTTGGTTTCAAAACTAAATGGAAAAGTGCATATTTAAGCGAGTTTGTCATTGTACTGTTTTGTTGTGTTTTTCATTTAGAATAATAATGAACCCGCCATTCAAGCAACTGCCGGCATTCATAACAGTGTGTGTGCGTTTTGCTTTCGTGTGTAAAGTAAAGAGCACCTCCGCTATTAATGTTGGCATACATCCAAACGCCATCAGTGGAAACCATGGAAAGAATGTCACAAATGACTTCCTCATTCTCTACAACACCTTTGCTGACTTCAAAATGACTTGTCCAGGGGATTTCTTGCAATCTCTTGAGATACGGGCAGATCTCTGACAGATAGGATGATGGCTGAAAAACAGAGTAGGGAGCCTGACAAGTCAAAGACTCTTCTGGCTCAATGTTTACTTTGAATTGCATGTATGATCAAGAGGTGAAGCTGTTGGTTATAGCAGTGGATGTAGGGGATATGCCTGCCCAACCTTTGAGGCAGTAAAGCCTGAACACTCTTCACTGATGCTCCATGACACGGGCTCAGTTTTCTGGCAGCTCTGAATCAAGCGTTGTCATTAATCTGCATCAAGCCAGAGAGATGTTCCTCTGGCACATCATCGCACACTAGGTGGATTACAGCAGACACATGTTCAATGTTGCACCCGTCCCTTGTGCCATCACTTTTTAAACAGAATGCAGCTAAATCAGTAGTGTCATATTTTTTGTTTTTATTTATTTATTTTTCAGAACCATGGATGCCAAAACGTCAATCACTTCATTCTGGATGGTTTTAGAAGTGTACTTTGTATATTGTGGGATATTTGATGTAATGTAAGCAAGTATTTATCTTTTCCAAAAAAAGCCCTGCATTTACGTAATCCTCCTCATTGTCAATGTTTCCCGGTCCCTATGTAATGGAAGCTCATTGGCCGCTATAAATGTCACGTCACCTGCCATGCTTTTCATGTTCTTAGCGATTCGAACTATGATGCTAAAACCGCCAGTAGGCGAGTCATTCATTCACCTGGTTCATAGAAATGCTGGTTTAGGAACTAAACCGCTGTATGTTGCTCAGAGATGCTCAACGGTTCTGTCGAAGTTTTGTCTAACTATTTTCATCTGCAGAACAAGCAGTGAAACAGTATCACACAATATTCACTTTTTTATTGAACTGTTCTATAAAATCAGTATCACATGGTGATATTTGGGAAAAACAATACGCTTGTTTGTGTGATATTGCTTAACTATGTCATATAGAAATGAAAGAAAAGGGCATTTTTGCTCCATGTATTGAGTTTCGGGGTCATTCTAACTGCATGCCACTAGCAGTATTTAGTTAGTTTTTTTGCAAAGTGAGTGACATACTTCCTAATGTCAGCTCACACATCATTAAATCAACAGTTGCGATATTATCGTAGACGATACACATCGCCAACCATTAACATATTTACTGACATATTGGTTGAGACTTATTGATATAAATATTATAATTAAACTTTGTTGGAGTACTTCTTTATTGCACAATGCACATTTCTTAATATTAAACCTAAAATGTGTTTTAACCTCTCTATTATTAAGGATAGTATGATATTTGTATAATATCAGTTTTTAAACGCAAGATATTAAAGTGTACCTAAAGTATACTTGCAATAGTTCAATTTTAGCACAGTCAATTATACTGAAGTTGTTCCGATTTAGCAGACTTTAAGTATACCAATTTAGTAAATGTATTTGTGGAATACTTAGTAATACAGTCTTAGTGATGCTTAGTGAGTCAGCCCTAGAGCTCCCCCTGTCCGATGTTAGGGGAGAACCGGGTCCATCGGAGACGCTTATGCGCTGGAAGAACACCACAGACACAGTGTAATCAGCATGGGGAAATCTCACAGTAACACTGGGAGCTGGGAGAAATATGATACACCGGTGTTTTGCCAAATGAGAAGTTTATCAATGTATCATCTTTTTACTCTTTTAATTCATTTCATAACTGTATCATATATCTCTTTTAATTCCTTTTATAACTGTTTTAATCTTCCTTGCTTTTATTTTGTGATTGTTTTAATTCCTTTTTTGTGTAAAGCACTTTGAATTGCCATAGTGTATGAAATGTGCTATATTAATAAAGTTGCCTTGCCTAACTTAGCATAAAATAAATGTATTTCAAATACATTTTAGCATATTTATTTTTCATTTGGGCATTTCTGTGTGAAATGTTTTACAGAACGAGGGAATTGCCCATGTATTGTGTTCCTCCTCATTCAGGCTGACAAGTCTAGTTTTAAACCCTCTTTGCTAATAGTTCTGGCGATTACATGCGTATATAGTATTCAGTTGGATGTGGTAAGGAGGTTCTGCCATATTAGGAAAAACAGGAACTGACCACCAGGCACGATGTGACGCATTATCAGAACTGTTTCATGACTTCACACATTACATCTTTATTATGTCATGTCTTTAGTTGAACAGACGCTTTTCAAACCCTCCAGTCCCTGACCAGATATACAGGTTTGTCAGCCTTCCTCTCATTTCTCTCCCACTATGTCATTTTGGACATGGCAAATGTGTGCGGTGCTTAGCTAGAACCATCCAAAGAACCTGTAATACTAGTTTAAACCACACCCGTTCAGGTTTAAAAGGAGATGTACCTCAGTCAGCATCTGTACTTTACCTTGTATTGTTCCAGTGTCTCCAGCCTTGGATTGTTCCAGTGTGTACAACCTTGGATAACGTTCCCTCTCCAGTGTCTCCAGCCTTGGATAACGTTCCCTCTCCAGTGTCTCCAGTGTCTCCAGCCTTGGATAAGATTCCCTCTCCAGTGTCTCCAGCCTTGGATTGTTCCAGTGTGTCCTGTGTCTCCAGCCTTGGATTGTTCCAGTGTCTCCAGTGTGTCCTGCCTTGGATAACGTTCCCTCTCCAGTGTATTCTCAGTGCCATGGCTGCGTGGGCTCCGGAGGCGTTTGCATGCCCGATATGCTTGGAAACCCTGAGCGACCCTGCCACGCTTCCCTGTGGACACACGTACTGCTTGGTGTGCATCCAGAAGCACTGGGACCAGCCCTCCAGCAAGGGCTCCTGCGAGTGTCCTCAGTGCCGACAGCGCTTCACCCCGAGGCCCGTGCTGGCCAGAAGCAACGTGCTGATGGAGGCGCTGGAGAAGCTGAGGCTGAGCGAGCGGGACGGCCCCCCGTCTGTGCCCGTGTGTGCGGAGCCGTCCGGCCTGTATCCCGCTCTTCCCACAGGATCACCGGAGCTCTGTCCGCTTCACCAGCAGCCGCTGGAGCTGTACTGCTGCCTCGACCAACAGCGCGTCTGTGACGAGTGTGGCCTTCTGGGACACAAGGGCCATCAGGTGGTGCGTCCGGATGAACAACAACACAAGATTCAGGTGCGCGGCTGCATTTAACGTTCATTACATTTGAGTGTGAATCACACACGTCATAATTTACCCCAAACTTTAAAACAAAGAAGTAAATATGTAAGGGATGATGTGTGTTCTCACTAAAAGGCCAGGACGGGGTCACATAAACACTGTCTTAAGAACTAGTCTGACCAAATAGCAGTTAGCCAAGAGTGACCAGTCTATGTTTCTGTCTAACTAATCACCAAACGAGTGTGAACACCATATACTAAGATCTGTCTACGAACTCTCAACAGATTAGGGCTGAACGATCATATATCAGGATCCTTTTTGTTCCCTCACTAATGTATATATACTTTAGGCCTTTGATGAATACATAAACTCAAAAATATTGATACAGTGTTCTCAATCATTGCGCATTAAAAAGTAATTATTACTTATGAAATGAAAAGTATGAAGTGCGCCTTGGTTTAGCGTTATAAATGACCGTGCCGTGCACCAGAAGAGCTTCTCTCTAATCCCATCTGCTGATTGAAGTCAATATAATACTGCTGTGTGAATGTGAGGACTTTCAAGTTCCCGATCTCACGTGTGACACTGACACAAAAGAAGCAAACGTGTCTTCAGAAGTGTCGAGAAAAGATCAGCAAAACCTGCACTGAAACTGCACTGTGTCCACATACAACCTCTTAATAGGGAAACATCTAAATTCACTGAGGAAACATTACTGATCACTCGCTACGTTTACAGACACTTTTTGTTTCAATCCGAATGAAATGATTGAGTGGAAGTAGAAATTTAGATTGCCTGACTACTGGTATGTGTTTCAAATAAGAGGCTTCATCATGAAGTTGTTGTAAAGTTCATCCTGAATGGATGAATCCTTCCCAGCCTATCCCAAGATTCATCGCGCTCTGGTGATCACTGAATGTTTTTTAAAGAACATTACACTTTTAAATCCAACTAATAAGTTTAAACTTGCTCAAATATCTAACGATACAAAAAGAAAAAGAAAAGAAAGCTATTCAAATGTTGACCTATCTGAATAAGATGAGATTTTGTTTAGTTTCTACAAGAATGGACCACGGTTAACATCTTTAGACTGTTTTGTTTTCAGACAGTTGAATATAACTTTCAAAAGTCCAGTACGAACGCCACTGCCGGCGGTTACCATGGCTAGGCAACAAGAGCAATCCTCCATAGACCATCCCAGTAACCAGCACGCGGCCTGGGGAGGAATGGCCTTTGGATGGGGACACGCCTTATGTTCAACAACAACCGCTCGTTCTTACATCATTACACGCCATCACGCCATTACACCGTGTTTACATCATTGCACATGCGCAGACCTTTCCTCAATCTGATCTGTTTACATGCACTATCAAACGGATTAGAAAGGGCTTAAACCACCCCTTACAATCCCAGTTATATTCCAATCGAATTTGGCCAATTCATTCCTATAGCTGTGGTTACATGGGACTCTCATCCCGACGTAACCACTGAAGCTCTTGAATTGCCAGTTGATGAGTGTGATCTCTATAACTCTTTAGCATACGCGTCACACTTCTCGACTGCCTCTTTTCTGATATACATTCACTGATATGCCGTAGCAATTTTGCTTTCTTTATTAAGAGTTGCACACACAGCCAGGTACTTAAAGCAGACTGTTATAAGCAAATGCTTCAAGTTTACTCTGAAACTTCAATTTCAAAACCATTTACTGCTGCTTGACTCTTACAATAAGATTGGCTGATGGCTATTTATTGTTTTTGTTGTGCGCGTGTGTGTGTCTTGGACTGTGGTACACTGACATTATGCTGTATATCTTTGTGATTATACAGCAAGAGCTGATAGGATTGAACGCCCGGATCGAAGGGAGCATTGCAGACCGCGAGAGGGTTGTTCAGAGCCTCCCCCAAGCCTCGGAAGCACACCAGGTAAACACGTCTCAGGTAAACACGTGTCAGTGAGCGTGGAGAAGCTTGGCAGCGAGTGTTGACAGGCGGTGGGCTGTGTCCTCCAGGTGTCCCTGCAGCAGCTGATGGAGGACAGCCAGGCCGTGTTCGGGGACGTGTTGAGGAGCGTGGAGCTCGGCCGGTCGCAGGTGCTGGAGCTGCTGCACACACACCAGAGCTCGTGCTCCACACACACCCAGGCCCAGACACAGCAGCTCCAGCAGGAGATCGCCCTCCTACGCCAGAAACACCAGCGGATCAGGAGCCTGCAGCGCATCCAGGACCCGCTCACTCTCCTCAACGTAAGAGTGCCTCCTGCAATAACGGCACATATTAATAGAGCAGGCATATAACACACAGATGCTAGTGCATGACAAGATTAAAACTGCTACATCTGAAGCAAAAAATATATTTATATATACGGTACTGTTTAAAAGTTTGCTTGCAGTTTGGTCTCTCTGCACACCAAGAAATGCTATTATTTGATCAACAATACAGTAAAACCAGTGAAATGCTCAATGTAAATCAGCTGTTTTCTATGTGAATATACACTCACCTAAAGGATTATTAGGAACACCTGTTCAATTTCTCATTAATGCAATTATCTAATAAACCAATCACATGGCAGTTGCTTCAATGCATTTAGGGGTGTGGTCCTGGTCAAGACAATCTCCTGAACTCCAAACTGAATGTCAGAATGGGAAAGAAAGGTGATTTAAGCAATTTTGAGCATGGCATGGTTGTTGGTGCCAGACGGGCCTGTCTGAGTATTTCACAATCTGCTCAGTTACTGGGATTTTCACGCACAACTATTTCTAGGGTTTACAAAGAATGGTGTGAAAAGGGAAAAACATCCAGTATGCGGCAGTCCTGTGGGCGAAAATGCCTTGTTGATGCTAGAGGTCAGAGGAGAATGGGCCGACTGATTCAAGCTGATAGAAGAGCAACTTTGACTGAAATAACCACTCGTTACAACCGAGGTATGCAGCAAAGCATTTGTAAAGCCACAACACGCACAACCTTGAGGCGGATGGGCTACAACAGCAGAAGACCCCACCGGGTACCACTCATCTCCACTACAAATAGGAAAAAGAGGCTACAATTTGCAAGAGCTCACCAAAATTGAACAGTTGAAGACTGGAAAAATGTTGCCTGGTCTGATGAGTCTCGATTTCTGTTGAGACATTCAGATGGTAGAGTCAGAATTTGGCGTAAACAGAATGAGAACATGGATCCATCATGCCTTGTTACCACTGTGCAGGCTGGTGGTGGTGGTGTAATGGTGTGGGTGATGTTTTCTTGGCACACTTTAGGTCCCTTAGTGCCAATTGGGCATCGTTTAAATGCCACAGCCTACCTGAGCATTGTTTCTGACCATGTACATCCCTTTATGGCCACCATGTACCCATCCTCTGATGGCTACTTCCAGCAGGATAATGCACCATGTCACAAAGCTCGAATCATTTCAAATTGGTTTCTTGAACATGACAATGAGTTCACTGTACTAAAATGGCCCCCACAGTCACCAGATCTCAACCTAATAGAGCATCTTTGGGATGTGGTGGAACGGGAGCTTCGTGCCCTGGATGTGCATCCCACAAATCTCCATCAACTGCAAGATGCTATCCTATCAATATGGGCCAACATTTCTAAAGAATGCTTTCAGCACCTTGTTGAATCAATGCCACGTAGAATTAAGGCAGTTCTGAAGGCGAAAGGGGGTCAAACACAGTATTAGTATGGTGTTCCTAATAATCCTTTAGGTGAGTGTATAGTAAAGTGTAATTTATTCCTGTGCTCAAAGCTGAATTTTCAGCATCATTACTCCAGTCTTCAGTGTCACATGATCCTTCAGAAATCACTCTAATATGATGATTTGATGCTCAAGAAACATTTATGATTATTATTAGTGTTGAACATAAACTGCGGTTGGACGGTGAAACGGAAACACTGGCCAGTGTTGGCGGTCTCATGCCTATATGCATGTTCACTGACTCTACATTCATCAGTAAGAGTCGAGTGTGAAGGTTCAGTTAGCAGAGCAATAGCTGTACATACATTATTGCAATCCACACAGCATAACAGGAGACATGTCAGAGTCCAGAAGAGGACGAGCGGCTGGTGGATCATCAGACCTGGGGACGTTCTTCGTACGCCGCTAGGCTAGCTCAGTTAGAGCTAGCTCCAAAATCCAGCTCGAGAACAGCTCATTTCATGAAAACAAGATCAGATGGCCTCTTTATAAGCGGAGGTGATACTCTACCAGAGTTCCTTACTTAACCTTGAGGCAAAAACAATTTAAAGTAATAATATCAAATAAATTAAATTGTGACTAGTCGAAACGACAGATAGAGATATCTGTCATTCAGTTTTGAATAGGCAGAATGAATGTTACAGATATCTCAAATTTCAGATATCTCTAATCAAAATTAATTTCAAGATATCTATAACTTGATAATAGATATCTACAATTCAATTATGACTATCCCTAACTCCAGTTTGAGATATCTACAACGCCATTTCGCCTAAACTTAATTTAAGATATCTGAAAAGGAACATATAGATATCTTGAATTGAGGTGAATTAAAGATCTTGAACCGGAGTTATGACTAGTCAGAATCAAATTGTAGATATTTCAAACTGGAGTTACAGATATCTACAATTCAGTTGCAGATCTCCGTAATTCACATAGTGGATATCTCCAACTGAACTGTAGATATCTGTAATGATAAACCCCATACAAAAGTGACGAGATTTGTCCTAGGAAGAATGTAGTTGCGGATATCTGAAATGTTCTTTTTGACTAGGCCGAACTGAATTACAGATATGTGCAACACATATCCAGTCTGGCAGTTAAATGTTAAGATGATAATGACGTATTGTCTGACTACGTTTCTCATACGTGAAGGATGTATTATTCCTCATGAGTGATTGTGTGAATGTTTGAGTGATCATGCATGTAATGACTCCTCAGGCGTTCACGGCGGTGGATTGTGCGGACCCGTGTGTGAGCGCAGCGATGGAGATCGTGAGTCCGCAGACGCTGATGATGTCAGAGGTCAGATCCACTCTGCACGCTTTCAGAGAGGCGCTGGAACACCTCACCACAACCAGCCTGACCCGTGTCTTCAGAGTCGGTGAGCACACACACACACACACACACACACACACAGAGGCGCTGGAACACCTCACCACAACCAGCCTGACCCGTGTCTTCAGAGTCGGTGAGCACACACACACACACACACACACACACACACTCTCACACACACACACACACACACACACACACACACACACACACACACACAGAGAGGCGCTGGAACACCTCACCACAACCAGCCTGACCCGTGTCTTCAGAGTCGGTGAGCACACACACACACACACACACGCACACACACACACTCTCTCACACACACTCACTCTCACACACGCACACACAGCTCTGCTAAAATCACATCGCATGCTCTTTCTGGCTCATTGATTTTAGAGAAATTAGTCAATTGCAATAAGTACATTAATTTGAACTAGAATAAAGGGTTTATGGTTGAAAAGCAACAGACATTTTGTAGATTATAACAGAATATGCTTCACACACATATATTTATATATTTAAATATATATATATTATATTTATTTGTGTTTTACTATATATTTCACTGTTCAAAATGTATATTGGTCAATCTCAGGTAACTTTAGTTCAATTTCTACAAGGTTTTAAAGTGGGACATGGATGCATTTGTCTCAGTCCTGTTACCGAAACTCATGTCTTTAAAAAGTGTCAACACATTTCTTTATTTTCCTCTCACAAAAGTGTTTATTTTAATTAAATACTTGGTTGCATGTTTAAATTATATTTCTCACTATATATGCACACAAGGTGTATTTAAAAAAAAAAACTGCATAGCCATTTTTTTATTTTAAAGGAGCCCCGAACCTCAAGTTTATAATTTTCCTTTATCATGTAGTTAATTAAGCGCAGATGCCACTAAAGTCATGTGACACTGGAGTAATGCTGTATTCTGACACCACCACCAGCATTCAAATTAATGTGCTCATGAATGTGACTTTCATCATGAATGTAAAGCAGATATATTAGTGATCTAGTGATGATATAGGGAGATATCCCATGTTCCCCTGCAGTGAACGATGCGGCCGCTCTGGCACAATCATCCAGTCAGTCATGTGACCCAGGCGTCGTCTCCAGCCAATCACAGCCGCCCTCACTAAACCCAGGTAAACACACACTATCCTCAGTGGACAATGAACTCATCTCGCTAGATTGTTATTTTTGAAACCGGCTTCTTCTCAGCTTTTCAGATTACAGAAGGAAAGTCTGACTCTGTGAAACCGGATGTTAAACCAGTCAAAGCTTCTTCTCCTGCAACACAAGCACATCACACGAACTCTGCCAATCCTGGTAAATAATGAAGAGTATTACATCTAGTTACACAGCACTTTTGTCTAATCACAATAATAAAGTTGAGAAATACAAAAACAAACTCAAAAGTAAAAGTAAAAGATTTGCTTTATGTGGCAGGGGGTTCAATGCAAAAATCTTAATGGTACTAAAAGTAGTAAAGTGTGCTTTTGAAACGCGCTTCGTGAAGCCTTGAAACCTCTGTGAATCATTTGTTTGGACCCAGTGCTTATCAAAGTCATGTGATTTCAGTAAACGAGGCTTCGTTACGTCATAACTCTTTCGAGATGCCTCTCTGTGAATACATCAACCAGTCTCTATGATTTTTAATCATATATTTCATATGATTTCTATATATGATAAATAATGACATATTTGTATAATAAAAGGGAAGAGTTGTAGTTAAAAGTCTCTTATTGGTCTTATTAACCAAGCTCTCCATAAAACAAACAAAACAAGGTCTACAATTTAATAAAATAACACATTATAAAGACACTTCATATTTAATGATTTGTTAATGACATTTAATAGATTACACCTTCAATAAAACAATTGCAATTGGTTTTTAAAAGGTGTTTTTATTCATATTTTTATTCATAATTCATATTTGTTTATAATATTATTCATTATTGAGTTTTTGCTGCATTTACACGCTCTGACCAGCATGTGGTGTTTTGAGTGCTTCGAAACAGTGAATAATTTTGCGAAGCAATTTCTGAAATTTATTCAAAGTTGGGAAAGCTTTGGTTCACCCATTGCTACCTAAAATATGCATATATTATGTACAGTAGACACAATTATTGTAGGCGTGAAATGTGACCTAGACATGTTGTCCTGAGATTTGCCCTATTAAACATCTTCATTGTGTCTCTACAGTGGAGGGATCAGCATCGTGTTGTCTAGCTAAACCAGCACCTAGAACCCGAGAGGAAATGCTTAAATGTGAGATCAGCTGTTAGTGATTTTGTACAAATATGTCCTTTCTCTTTCTATTAGTAATGTTTAATGTTGTATTTCCTTTCAGTTCGCACCGACCTTACTCTAGATCCCAATAGTGTTTTCCGTCAGATCCGTCTGTCTGATGGCTATCGCAAGGCGACGCTGTGCGCGGAGAGCCAGAACTACCCGGCTCACGCGGACCGCTTCGTGTTCTGGAGGCAGGTCATGTGTGCGGAGCCGCTGGCTGGGGGCCCGAGCTACTGGGAGCTGGAGTGGACCGGGCACAGGGTAAATACAGCACACTTTAAATCAAGCGTAGCGTCAGTTCTGGCAGGTCACGTCAGTCGAGCACACATCAGTGACACTCAGCTGATCCTCTACCTATAGGAATATGACGCCTATCACTATATACATATATAAGCTCTTCAGTATTATCAGCTGATCCTCTACCTATAGGAATATGACGCCTATCACTATATACATATATAAGCTCTTCAGTATTATCAGCTGATCCTCTACCTATAGGAATATGACGCCTATCACTGTACACATATATAAGCTCTTCAGTATTATCAGCTGATCCTCTACCTATAGGAATATGACACCTATCACTGTATACATATATAAGCTCTTCAGTATTATCAGCTGATCCTCTACCTATAGGAATATGACGCCTATCACTGTACACATATATAAGCTCTTCAGTATTATCAGCTGATCCTCTACCTATAGGAATATGACGCCTATCACTGTACACATATATAAGCTCTTCAGTATTATCAGCTGATCCTCTACCTATAGGAATATGACGTCTATCACTGTACACATATATAAGCTCTTCAGTATGATCAGCTGATCCTCTACCTATAGGAATACGACGCCTATCACTGTATACATATATAAGCTCTTCAGTATTATCAGCTGATCCTCTACCTATAGGAATACGACGCCTATCACTATATACATATATAAGCTCTTCAGTATTATCAGCTGATCCTCTACCTATAGGAATAAGACGTCTATCACTGTACACATATATAAGCTCTTCAGTATTATCAGCTGATCCTCTACCTATAGGAATATGACGCCTATCACTGTATACATATATAAGCTCTTCAATATTATCAGCTGATCCTCTACCTATAGGAATATGACGCCTCTCACTGTACACATATATAAGCTCTTCAGTATTATCAGCTGATCCTCTACCTATAGGAATACGACGCCTATCACTATATACATATATAAGCTCTTCAGTATTATCAGCTGATCCTCTACCTATAGGAATAAGACGTCTATCACTGTACACATATATAAGCTCTTCAGTATTATCAGCTGATCCTCTACCTATAGGAATACGACGCCTATCACTGTATACATATATAAGCTCTTCAGTATTATCAGCTGATCCTCTACCTATAGGAATACGACGCCTATCACTATATACATATATAAGCTCTTCAGTATTATCAGCTGATCCTCTACCTATAGGAATAAGACGTCTATCACTGTACACATATATAAGCTCTTCAGTATTATCAGCTGATCCTCTACCTATAGGAATATGACGCCTATCACTGTATACATATATAAGCTCTTCAATATTATCAGCTGATCCTCTACCTATAGGAATATGACGCCTCTCACTGTACACATATATAAGCTCTTCAGTATTATCAGCTGATCCTCTACCTATAGGAATACGACGCCTATCACTATATACATATATAAGCTCTTCAGTATTATCAGCTGATCCTCTACCTATAGGAATACGACGCCTATCACTATATACATATATAAGCTCTTCAGTATTATCAGCTGATCCTCTACCTATAGGAATAAGACGTCTATCACTGTACACATATATAAGCTCTTCAGTATTATCAGCTGATCCTCTACCTATAGGAATACGACGCCTATCACTATATACATATATAAGCTCTTCAGTATTATCAGCTGATCCTCTACCTATAGGAATATGACGCCTATCACTGTATACATATATAAGCTCTTCAGTATTATCAGCTGATCCTCTACCTATAGGAATACGACGCCTATCACTATATACATATATAAGCTCTTCAGTATTATCAGCTGATCCTCTACCTATAGGAATATGACGCCTATCACTGTATACATATATAAGCTCTTCAGTATTATCAGCTGATCCTCTACCTATAGGAATATGACGCCTATCACTATATACATATATAAGCTCTTCAGTATTATCAGCTGATCCTCTACCTATAGGAATATGACGCCTATCACTGTACACATATATAAGCTCTTCAGTATTATCAGCTGATCCTCTACCTATAGGAATATGACGTCTATCACTGTATACATATATAAGCTCTTCAGTATTATCAGCTGATCCTCTACCTATAGGAATATGACGCCTATCACTGTATACATATAAGCTCTTCAGTATTATCAGCTGATCCTCTACCTATAGGAATATGACGCCTATCACTGTACACATATATAAGCTCTTCAGTATTATCAGCTGATCCTCTACCTATAGGAATATGACGCCTATCACTGTACACATATATAAGCTCTTCAGTATTATCAGCTGATCCTCTACCTATAGGAATATGACGTCTATCACTGTATACATATATAAGCTCTTCAGTATTATCAGCTGATCCTCTACCTATAGGAATACGACGCCTATCACTGTACACATATATAAGCTCTTCAGTATTATCAGCTGATCCTCTACCTATAGGAATATGACGCCTATCACTGTATACATATATATGCTCTTCAGTATTATCAGCTGATCCTCTACCTATAGGAATATGACGCCTATCACTGTATACATATATAAGCTCTTCAGTATTATCAGCTGATCCTCTACCTATAGGAATATGACGCCTATCACTGTACACATATATAAGCTCTTCAGTATTATCAGCTGATCCTCTACCTATAGGAATATGACGTCTATCACTGTACACATATATAAGCTCTTCAGTATTATCAGCTGATCCTCTACCTATAGGAATATGACGTCTATCACTGTACACATATATAAGCTCTTCAGTATTATCAGCTGATCCTCTACCTATAGGAATATGACGCCTATCACTGTAAACATATATAAGCTCTTCAGTATTATCAGCAGATCCTCTACCTATAGGAATATGACACCTATCACTGTACACATATATAAGCTCTTCAGTATTATCAGCTGATCCTCTACCTATAGGAATAAGACGTCTATCACTGTATACATATATAAGCTCTTCAGTATTATCAGCTGATCCTCTACCTATAGGAATATGACGCCTATCACTATATACATATATAAGCTCTTCAGTATTATCAGCTGATCCTCTACCTATAGGAATACGACGCCTATCACTATATACATATATAAGCTCTTCAGTATTATCAGCTGATCCTCTACCTATAGGAATATGACGCCTATCACTGTATACATATATAAGCTCTTCAGTATTATCAGCTGATCCTCTACCTATAGGAATATGACGCCTATCACTGTATACATATATAAGCTCTTCAGTATTATCAGCTGATCCTCTACCTATAGGAATATGACGCCTATCACTGTATACATATATAAGCTCTTCAGTATTATCAGCTGATCCTCTACCTATAGGAATAAGACGTCTATCACTGTATACATATATAAGCTCTTCAGTATTATCAGCTGATCCTCTACCTATAGGAATATGACGCCTATCACTGTATACATATATATGCTCTTCAGTATTATCAGCTGATCCTCTACCTATAGGAATATGACGCCTATCACTGTATACATATATAAGCTCTTCAGTATTATCAGCTGATCCTCTACCTATAGGAATAAGACGTCTATCACTGTATACATATATAAGCTCTTCAGTATTATCAGCTGATCCTCTACCTATAGGAATATGACGTCTATCACTGTATACATATATAAGCTCTTCAGTATTATCAGCTGATCCTCTACCTATAGGAATATGACGTCTATCACTGTACACATATATAAGCTCTTCAGTATTATCAGCTGATCCTCTACCTATAGGAATATGATGCCTATCACTGTATACATATATAAGCTCTTCAGTATTATCAGCTGATCCTCTACCTATAGGAATATGACGCCTATCACTGTATACATATATAAGCTCTTCAGTATTATCAGCTGATCCTCTACCTATTAGCCTGGCTCCGCCCTCCTACGCACTTCCGCTCAATTTTATTTTCCTTCAGTACTACGTCTGGGATTGTGCTGTAGACTTTGGTTTCCAGAAATAATTTTTTTACCGGTCCAATCAGCGAACAGAGGGAGTGGCTGAGAACGATGACGTTGATGTAGCGCGTCAGTTTGAGTTGGAGTTCAGTAATGGCAGCGGAGAAAGACGTGAGAAAATCTATTCGGTCCGTTGTTGCAAAACTGCCGAATATCCAGAAGTAAAAGCCGGAGCAAGATCAATGTTTGCTAAGTGTTGTTGGTGGCCATGATGTTGTGGCCCTCCTCCCCACGGGGTTCGGGAAAAGTTTAATTTTCCAGCTCACTCCGCTAGTGGTGAATGAGTTAGCTAAGGCGAACGATAGGATGCAAAGCCGATAGTTGTTGTCGTCTCCTCTTGTTGCACTAATGGAGGACCAAGTGAGGGAGGCAGAAAGGTTAGGAGTTGGTGCTGGGCAGCTCGGCGTGCACGATGATCACTGTACAGCATTTGCGGCAGATCCGAAACGACCGCAGCGGCGTATTGTTAATGATTACACCCAGCTTCGACAGTTGACTGAATACATCACTGTCCTTAGTGTCAAATATACATTTAGAATTGTTCCTTGAACTCTTAAATTCGATGAACAAAACATGCAGCTCTCGTTGACAGACATCTTATTCTAAACATAATCCTCTGATCATTCGGACTTGTTTTTTTTTATTGCTTAAAACAATACACAAGTAATAACAGAAAACATAATACAAAAACAAACAAAAAATAATAATAAAAACAAAACAAAAATAAAACAGTAGGGGGATAATATAAAATAAACATGAACAAGTTAAGAGAATTACATGACACTGAAAAAAGGAAAATAATTACAAACAGATAATGTTTTTAAGGCTTTTTTTTGTTCTCAGACAACTTAATTGAAAATAGGTATTTTTAAAATTATTTCACAAATATAAGAAAGAGAGGTTTAGCATTTAGATATTTAGATTTATGAATATGGAATTCGGACTTGTTGTTTCCAGCCGGTTTCGGCGCATGACATACGTCACGACCACACGTTAGCGATTGGCTATGGCAGATCCT